GCTGTGATCTGTACTGTAGTGAAAGGACACAGAGAAAAATCAGCAGAGGGAAAAAGGGCATGCAGGGAATCCCCGAGGAAACCAGGCACAGCTTCTAAGAGTCCTCTCCCAGCAGGATCATACAGGGTACGCCAAATTCTTCTAGCATTGAATCGTGACAACATGTGTGAGGTGTTATTTAATATCAGGGAAGCTCATTAGAGACTCAGAGCCAGAGGATTTTATTGGGGGCTGGTCACACCGGCCCCATTTTAGCACATACCCAAATCCTAGACTCCCAGAAGGAGAGCAGGTAGGTATCCAGCCTCCCAGACTGTACAGTCTAAGGATAGGAAACCACCTTCACCAGTTCAAGAATGGTGGACCACTCGTGGAATCCTCATTCCCAGGTGCCAGCCGAGGACCAGCCTTGCAGGCAGGCCTTTCTAGGGATGGGAACCTCGGCCAGCTGTGAGTTCTTTTCTGCACAGCTCCATAGGAGTGGAGTTGCTGGGCCCCATGGGAGCCTTCTATTTAACTTTTTTTTGCCAAACTGTTTTCCAGAAGGACTGCACCACTTTCATTCCCACCCGCAGTGTGTGAGGGTTCCAATTTCTCCCCATTGTGGCCAACACCAGTTTTTGTTCATCTTTTTTTATTTTATAGCCTCCTAGGAGGCACTAATAGGTTTTTAAGTTAATGATTTGCAAGCATTTAGAACAAAAAATGGTGATTCGTAGGAGCCAAAATGGATTCTCTAAGAACAAACCATGCCCATCTAACCCCTGATTTTCCTCATTAAAAAAAAAAAAAAAGCAGCAGGTTTATTTTTTCTGTACTAGCTATGCCAGGGGAGTGTTTTTGTGTTTCAGCCCTGTCCTTCACAATGTCTTCATGTTCCAAAATGGAGACACAGGGTTGTATTGATTGGTGGGTTCCTCACTTGCTGACAGGTAACACTCAAAAATGCAACATCCAGGAGGAAGGCCTCTGCGGCGATTTCCCCGATACTGTTCTCAGGCCCCTTGTTTAGTGTTTCTGTCCAAAACTCGAAGGGGAGACACAGATGGCAGTCCTATCAAGTTTGCAGATTACCCAAAGCAGGCAAACACATGCACATTGAATTGTAAGATCTGGTTCCAGAAGATCCTGACAGCACAGAATGGTAGGCAGAGTCCTACAACATAAAATTATTAGGGACAAATGGCAAGTTCACGCCCACAGGATCTGGTCCAGATGCAACCAGAGAGAGTTGGCACTTTGGTTTCTTCTCATTAACAAAAGTATAGCCAACCTTAACAAATGGACAACAAAGTCTTAGGGCACCCCGGAAAAACGCGGTGATGTGTGGGTCTGCAGTTTCAGGGAATTCAGAAATCGGCCAGGAGGAGAGTTGTTGAAGGAGCTGGGCTGCTCAGTGGGCCAATAGACAGCCTAAGGTGACTGGAGAGTTGGCTCCCCCTTTCTGAAGGTCTCTGGTATAAAGGCAGTATGAACTGTCTTTCCCACGGCCCATAGGGGAAAACAGATTTGGACTGATTAAGGACGCATTTTGTGAAACTGTAGTCAAATGGGCTGCCCGGTAAGGTGGTGAGCATCCCATCGCTGGGGGTATTCAAAGAAGCATTACTTAATCTTTAATTAAGGAACTTGCATGGGGCAAGAGGTAGTCTGGATGACCTCTGAGGTCTTAGAACTCCCTAGCATGAAGCGAGGATCTGTTCACCCCTAAAGTCCAGTTCAGGGGTCACCCAGCTCCAGAGTGAGTAGCCTTTCCGTGTTTCGTCCTCTTCCTGTGCCCCTCACAGTTCTCTGTGTCCATGAGGACACTTGGGTACCCACTTGAGACACACACTTGCCCTCTTCTCAGTGCCTCTGTTGCCCAGAAGCCCCTCTCCTCTGACCCATTACCTATCTTACCCAGGACATGTGAGGTCCACCAGTCTGCCAACCATGTGTTAAACTCTACAGCCATTTTCTTGTTCTCACAGCCATTCAGCAAATATTCGGGGACATCTAGTATGTGTCAGGCCCTGGATGAGTTGTGAGACATGCAGCAATGACCAGGGGTTTGGTGGGGGAAGGGGGGCCCACATAAAAGCTGACTGCAGGCTGCTGTGGGCTGTGAAGTCAGGAGTGTGGGGAAGGAGTGGGGGCCTGACTTAGGCATGGCTGGGGAGGTGGCCTCCTGCAAAAGTGCTGTTTCAGCTGGGATCTGAAGGAAGAGAAGCAGTCAGGGGAGGAGAACATGGGCCCAGAGCCGCATTCCTGCTGGGGCTGTAGCCCGGACTATCGCTGAGCACAGGACAGGACACCAGCTCGGGGCTTGCTTAGGATGCTTCAGGAAGAGAAGTACAGACTGCCTGGTGGGGGTCTTTTCCTGTCCCTTGCTCATCCAGTGCCCAGGTTGAGCCACTTGTGACCCGAGATGGGAGACCCGAATGCGTCCGCACGCACACACATGCTTATGTGTGTGAGTGTGAGAGAGAGAGAGAGTTGAGAGCCACTCTGGTTGCCTTCTGAATCCAGTCCCAAGTGGCATAGGGATTATTTGTGCCTTCATTCCCCTCCACTGGTGTGGATGACTGAGGTAATGGGTCCCGTTCCAAACGTCTCCACATCCCCACAGTGGCAGCTCCCATGGGGACATGTACAGACCTGTGATTCTCCTAATCTCTCGGGTACACCCACTTCTCTCTCTTTCTTGCAAGTAGGAGGGGTTTGGAGGTCCTCCCCCTTCAGACCTCTGCTGCTTCTTTCCTGCTGTCATGTATGTTTTACCAGCCTCCTGCCACTCTCCCCGCACCCCCTCCCCAACCTCAACTCTCATTGACTTAACTGAGGGAGCCTCCAGATGAGAGACACTGAGGGAGGAGGCCAGTTTCCCTTAAGCACTCATACTCAGCAATTAGTTTCTGTTATTGCCAATTCAGGGTAAGTAGAAAATAACAGAGGAATGGAACTAGGACTCAAAGCCCGTGCCAAGTGCTTGGCATGCGTTACCATGACATTTGCATGTGTGTCACATGGGAAGTCACATACCAGGCCAAGCACGAGGGTAGGTTTGGCCAGCCTGGGAGTTGAAAGAGCCTGGTTCCCAGCCCTGCTGGCTGTGTCGTCCTGACCACTTCCATCTCTGAGCCTCAGTTTGAACATCTGGGAAATGGAGAGGTGCTGCCAGATCCCTCTGTCATTTCACAGGGGGTGTGGGCCATAGACTCATCACATCTGCCCTCCTGGGCCGTGTATTTGGGTCACAATGGCAGGCACAGCAGAGGTCATAGTCCAGATGTGCCTGGGAGAGACTGCTTCTAAGCCTTGGCACCTGGAATGGCAGAGCATGGATGGTGAGGGTGGAGATGTCCAGAAGGAGGGGGCTGCAACAGGAAGGTGGGCCAGGAGCGAGAAGGAGAGAAGTAGAAGGGTGCCATACAGTGTCTGGAGGGGAGGTGAGAAGTAGAGACAAACACGTGGACCAGATGGGTGGTTCTCAGGCGTGGCCTGTGGACCAGCAGGATCGTGGGGGAACTCATTAGGAAGGCAAGTTCTTGGGCTCACCACAGACCTGCTGGATCCGAAACTCAAGGATTGGGCCGACGGGCTGATTCAGTAAGCTCTCCAGGTGATGCTGATGCCAGCAAAGTTTGAGAACTAAGGACAGGTGGAAGGAGGGATGGTGGTTGTGGTTTGGAGGACTAAGTGGGATTTTTAGAGGCTGAAGAGGGCAGAGGACTCGTGCTTGTCAATCACATGCCGTGGCAGGTCAGAAACAACATTTCCAGCTACTTTCTTTCACATAAACCTTTCAGGATTAGGGGTTAAACCTTTCAGCAAAACAGCCCTTGGTATCCCCATTTCCAAGAGAAGTCCACTGAGGCTCAGAGACCTTCAGTCACTTGCCAAGGTCAAAGAAGAGGTGAGAGGCACACACAGACGGCCCTGGCCTCGAACCCTGTGTTCTTTGCAGTAAACCAGCTACCTCCCCAGGCACCAGGTCCCCAGCTGTGCCTCTGCTGCCAGCCCACTGTCGCTCAAGCGGCCTGCCATGCAGAGGCGAAAAGGCAGCACTCTAGAGGGGTGAGCCTGGGGGCCAGGGGAGCAGGACTGAACGTCCATTCCTCTAGCCTCCAGGCTAAGTGCATCCGGGGGACCGAGGTGCTGGTGTGACGTTCCCTAGAGACTGACATAGTTTCCTTAAAGTACTAAGAACTCGTGCCCGGACAGGGGGACAGAGTTGATAAATATTCATTGCTGCTTACCTGTGCCAAGACTTGTGCTGGGTGCTGTGAGGGAAACTGAGGTAGGCATAGTTTCTGGCTTTGAAGAGCTTTTGGTTCCTAGCCAGGGAAACAAAGCCTGATAAGTGATTGGCTGGGGTGCTGGGGAACCTGGGATGGCCAGGGTGGGTCAAGCCAAGTGTCAGAAAGGTGCGGAGAGACTTGTGGCAACGTTAAGGGACAGAACAAAGGCTTTAGCGGGGGTGGCAGACCTAAGGCTTCAGAGCCACAGGGCATGGGTTCAGTTTGTAGCACTCTCACTGACTCTCTGGCTAACCTTGGACAAATTACCTCGTGTCTTTGCCTTGTCTTCTTATCTGCAGAATGGAGTCTACCATCCCTAGTTCAGGGGTTGCTTTGTACCAGGCATCACTCTGTGAGTTGTTTCCTTCCTTTCAGAGGATGGCTTTAGGCCAGAGCAAAGCAAGAAGTCTTCATGGAAGAGGTGGCTTTTCACTTTGGCACTGAAGGATAGCTAGAATATATTTATTGCTTTTTGTGTCTCCTCTGAGGAATCTGTGGGTAGACTCTGGGCTCATGGGGTCATCTGAGGAGAATGGCCGTCCAGGCAGCTGTCACTGTGAATAAAACTATGTGAGAGAGAAAGTGGTCTTCCTCAGGTTGGAAGATTATTATTATTTTTTTATATGGTTTCGAATCCTGTTGCAGAGGGCAAAGCCAGCGGCCAGCACCCGCGGTTGGGAATTGCCACACTCAGGTTCTGTTTCCTACTTTCTCTTACAGATGATGCAGTTCGCCTGGCGGAGCTACAGACTTTACGCCATGGGCAAAAACGAGCTCCGACCACTCACAAAAGATGGCTATGAGGGCAACATGTTTGGTGAGTTGGTGTGGGTGAGACCCACAGCCCCTCTGCTGGTTAGGTGGAATTCAATTTTGGCTCTTCTCCCCCCCCCAACCCTGCTGAGCTGTGTCCCTATTTCCCCAGACTCGGGGCTCCCGAGTCTGAGTTCCTTCTGGGCTCTTGAGGTTTCTGAGCCTTTTAGATTTGTGGGAAGCCAACACGCTTCCCTCTCACTTTACACTCTTTGTACACACTTAGCATCTGTGTTTTGGAGCAAACACACTTAGTCGTGTGACTGGGGATGGTGAGGAACGGAGACCTGTTTCCCAGGAGCAGGTCTGGGGTTCTGAAGGACACAGAGGACTGGGTTTGACTCCAGTCCCCCAGGTGTAGCTGTAAGACGATCTCAGGTGAGCTCATGAGAAACGGGACCAGTTTTTGATGAGGTGGGCGTGTGTGCCGCCTTTAGGGTCCTGCGGGTGCGTCTTGCACACCCCGCCGGTGGACGGTCGGGACTGTCGCTCATCAGGGAGCGTCATGGGCACTGCCTTGTGTTGGCAGCCCTGTGTGACCTGCCGCCTCACTTGCTCGTATCTCTTCCATTTCCAGGCACAGGTTCTCCTAACTCGAGAGCCTCTCTCAGCTGGAGAGTCTGTAGAGTGCCTTATTGTGGGTACGGCCTCACATTCCAAACTTAACACCCTTGCAAGTCGCCAGCTCTCTGCTCTGCAGGCCTTTCTCCAGAAAAGATGCCAGAGGCGGCCTGGCCTGCTTCTTCCCTGAGAGATGGGAGCTCTCTGGGGCTAGAGACGGAAATTCACCCGCTGTGTTCCTCACCCCTTAGAGACACAGGTCCCTGAGGTCCAGAACCAAAGAACCAAGTGAGATGAAAAGTCCCAGGAAAATCTTCAAGGGAGATTTAAAGGGATGGCCCCTACGTATATGGTCTTGTGAGAAGTGCCTGTGTTCCGGGAAGAGGGACACGGGACCTGCCTTCCTCCCTCTAACCAGTCAACATCACATCCTTTCTGGATATTCTAATAACTCACTCGCCTTGGGTGTGTGTCTGTGTGTCTGCGTGAGAAAGAGAGATTTTCGGTAACTTCTTTCATTTTTCTGTTTATCATAGGAACATAGGGAAAAAGAAAAGTATCAAAAAGTGAAAAACAGACAAAAAATAGCTTATTCTGCCACATACATGCAACCTCTGTTGACCTCTTGTTCATTTCCTTTCAATCTTCTCTGTGCCTTTTTTCTCCTCGATATACAATTTTATGTTCTCTCTCTCTCTCTGGCTTAATGTTACATCATAAGTGTTTCTCTAACTTACTCAAATTTGTCATAAAGGATGTTTTTAATGGTGGCAATTATTGCAGGGATGTGCCATGATTCATTTAACCATCCTGCTAATGTAGGACAGAAGTCGTTTCTAATTTTTTGCTATTAAAAATAATTCAGCAGTTGTCATCTTTGTGCATAAAATGTTGTCTTTGGATAGATTCCTAAGGAGGACTCCTGAGTCAGAAGAGAGAAAGGCAGATATTTCTTTAACCTCAAGTATGAGATGTGTAGAGTCTAGCTGTCTTCTCTGTCTTGGAACATAGACCTTCTCTGATGTCCCACATTAGCCCTGGGGAAAGGGGCCAGCGTGGGTCTCACCACAGTCGTTGGAGCTTTGGCTACCGGTATAAATCTGGGATGGAACCACGGAGGTTTCCCCTCTCCGTCTCGCTGACAGTTTGCAGATATCCAGGGAATTGGTGGAAGTTAGGGGAGGCTGATTCCTGAAACTGCACAGCACGGGCATAGCTATTGCTCAGACTGTCCATGGGAGAGAGGGAGCACTATGGGGAGCACTATTGGTAGGACTAAGTCAAGTCCCATTGTGTGAAATTCCTCAGGGCTGTCCTTTGCATCTCAACTCTTCATTCCCTTTTCAGTCACCAGACCTGATGGAGAAAGTGTGGGCAGCTAGAACGGTGGAAAGAAACTTGGACCTTGAGTCTGAAATACCTGGGTACAAGTCCTCATTCTGTCCTGAGCTATCTGTGTAGCCAAGCCTGAGTTGCTTAACCTCTCTGGGCCCCTGCTCATTTGTCCTTCATACTGGACTACTGTGAGAGCACGTATGAACATGCAAAGGGCCCAGTATTTGTGAGTGGTTTACAATTTACAGTATAATACATGCAGTCAGCGGTTGCCCAGGTGAGCCCGTGGGAAGTCCTGAGGTCTCCTCGGTGTCCGTCTCCCAGAGCAGCTGCTCCCCTGGGTGCCAATCCTCCGGTGCCTCTAGGAGTCCTGGCAGCATCTTTCCTGTGCAGCCAGCAAAGAGGGCGCAGTGGGCGGCTGGCTCCTGGGAAAGGTTTAGTCTTTCACTCAACAAATGCTTATGGACCACTTTCTGGTCCATAAGCTGTGTGATCTTAGGCAAGGCATTTCTCTGTGAGCCTGAGTTTTTCTGCATAGTGGTACTAATGAAAACGTCAGACTAGCAGCCCAGGGCCTGCCTGACACACAGAACCTACTTAATAGGTAGTAGCTATGACTGTGGTTACCCACAAATGTGTCTTATGAGCCAGAGGCTTATGGGAATGCACCCAGAGGAGGAGGTTCTAGTTTGGGGTGGATCCATAAGGGGCTTTGAAGCCAGACTATTCCCAAAGAGAAGGAGGTGAGCTAACCTGGGTTAAGCCGCTTGTCACCCTCCCCCTTCTTTTTCCGGAGTCACGTAGGCTGCTAGGTGGCATCATTGCTGGGCTCTGGCCACTGCCATCTTCATGACTTCACTACAGACTGAGCCCTGCCTGGGAGGCCAGGTGGCAGCAGCGCACCCCCGCCCGACCTGGCTGAGCTGTTTGGACATGGGCTCACGCAGGGCTGAGAGGGGTGCATACGGGGAAGAGTCACGAGTTCATGCTGGTGTCTGGCTTTGCAGTGAGAACATCAGATGCCGAGCCTGGTCTCCTCTGCAGCGTTTCACCAAATTGAATTCCGCTCCCAGCTGCCCATGCACCCCTCCCTGAATCCGTTCTCACTCCAAGAGTGAGACTGCCGAGTGATGTGTCTCTCGAGCCAGTTTTTGTATCCTTCACAATTCAGAGTCAAAGAGGCTTCCATTTTCCTAACCTCCAGCTCAGCAGGTCCATCAGAAAATGTTCCCAAGCCCCTCGTGCTGCGAGCAAGGCCTTAGCCTGCTCATTGCCTTGTGGCCCAGGCCATGGTGGATATCTGCCTTGTTCCCCTTCCTCTGAGAGGTCGCTCCAGTGTCCCTGTTAGTGTCCAGCCAGGTGGTGGAGAGAGTGTGGACTTTGGATCTAAGCAGGCCTGAGGAGAGCCTCTGTGCTGCCACTTAGTAGATCTGTGGCCTCACACCGTGAAGTGGGGCAGAGACTCCCACCCCCTGGGCGGTGGTGACAGACTAGAGACGGACTGAGGCCTCGCCCAGAGCCAGGTCCAGAGTGGGCACTCGGTGGCAGCTCTCTGACCACTAGTAAGTTGCAGGGCCAAGTCTGCCACTCGCAGAACGTCTTCGGGGAGGGATGGGAGAAGAGCCAGCGGTGACGCGGCAGCCGGAGTGCCACAAAGCATGATGGCTCAGTACACAGAGGCCCAGCTTCCTTACCTGCAGAAAGGCCTGCTGCTAGGACTGGGGAGGACACTCAATAAGCTGGCCGAGGAGCATGGACTCGGGCCGGATGGCTTGCATTTGCATGCTGCTGTGCCACTTCTCAGTTGTGTAACCTTGGGCAAGTTTCTTAACCTTTCTGGGCCTCATGGTCCCAGCTGTAAAGTTGGGATGACAATACTACCTACTCACAGGATTGTTTTGAGAACTAAATGAGTTAAGACATGAGAAGTGCTCATATTCATGTCTGGCATTCTTCAAGTCAGCTGCTATGAGGGTGACATAAGGCTCTTAGGACAATGTGTGCCTCTCTCATGTTGACTGGAGCATGTCCAAGACGCCTGGATCCAAGGACCCATGTGAAGGTTCCAGGGCTCTGCAAGACCAGATCCCTCCTGTCCTATTGCCCCAGCCCTGGAGTGCCCATGGCAGGGATCGTGGGTGGGCAGCCCACTGGTAGGCAGTGTCCTGTTCACTCCTTCATTTAAGCAGCTTACAGAGGAATTTTTAGGCAGGGAAAGGTTAAAGTTCAAGGCCATGGAAAAAATCAGCCTCCTACCAGGATAAGAGTTTCCGGGCATGTAGTAAGCAACACCTTGCACTGGTGCCAGCTTCCAGCCCTGAAGCACTTAAAGAGCGTTAATCCTCCCAAGAAGTCATAGTGAGCCCTGATAACTTCACCTTCCCTTGGCAGCAAGGAGAACCAGCAGGGACAGAGCCTTGGCGGGGGGGAGTACCACCAGAGAGGGTGAAAGGGCTTCAAGGCAACTCCCACTCCTTCCTCTGAGTCGGGGAGAACCAAGGTCAGAGAGCGGAAGGAACTTGCCCAAGGTGACACAGCACGTTAATTACAGGACTGGGGACTTAGACTCCGGTGGCCTGAGTCCCAGCTGAGTGCTCTTTGCACCACCCACTCTGAGATTAGCTAAACTGACCAAGGCCAGATTGTTGAAATGCAGGCCTATGGTCATGGCCAGATCACCACCAGGAGCTGGAAATTTGCAGAGCTTCAGAAGGGGCAGACTACCAGGAGATGTATGATTTGGGGGCAGAGAGCCCACCCACTTCCTGTACCTGCATCACACCGAGCACAGTAGCTACATTCTCTCGTGTCCTACTCACAGCCCTTGTAAGGAATGTATTACCCATTTGATCCCCATTTCACAGATGAGAACCCTGAGCCTAGGCAAGTTTTAGGACTTGCTTAGTCACCCAGTTATCAAGCAGAGACCTGATCATAAGGCTGTCAAACTTCAAAACCCAGTCCATAAGCCACTGTGCTGCCCTGTTCTCCAGTGGCCATATACAGTGGCCACAGAGAAGGGAACAGGGCAGAGGGTTGGTCTCAGGGTTGGTGGGGCTGCATCTTCTGCTCCCCTGCCCTGACGGGAGCCCAGAGAGGACACACACT